ATTCTGGCTTTGGAAAAATAAAGCGTTTCACAATATTTTGCACTGACGTGGAGGGAGCTTTGTTTTCCTCCTGCCGGCTGCCTTGAGGAGGCCGACGGAGCCAAGCCTTGCCCCTCCTCGGAGATTTTCTGGGTAATTGCCACCTCTGCTCCAACTGAGTTTCGTGCTCTGCCTATTGGGAAAGCCAAAATTTCCTCACCTTACTCATGCAGCGCTCCAGAGGGACAATTTTTATAAAGTCCGGTTTGGAAGTGTTGGAAAAACTGACATCACCTTCGGAACCCGGTGTGTTTTCCCGGTGAGGTGGGTCATGTCGGAAGCCCAAAATATTCCATGGGAGATGGGAATCTGAGCGAGTTGGAGAGGAGGAAAAAGGGAATAGAGCAGATGGAGAGCAGCAAGGGGCAGAGGCTTTGGGGTAGCTCCTGCAGCTCCGAGGATCACGTGGAAGGATTCAGCTGGATCTTTCCTGGGATTGTGCCTCTGCTCCTGAGACTTGACGGCAGAAAGGCAACAGTGGGAGGGAAAAAACAGCAACAAGCCCCAAGAAGATGGGGAGGGTTGTGATTTTGTTCAGGGAAATTGGATGAAACGTGATTTAAAGGGGAAAAAAAATGGAGGAATAAAGAGCACAATCTGGGAATCTGATGGAATAGTCATTTGTGAAAAAATTCCCAGCTTGTTCCATGCCATGGCAGTGGGTGTTATTTCTATATTTTAACTTAAATGGTCATTTTTCTTTGCTGTGTGGAATTTATTTTCTAATAAGATAACATTTTCTTCTCATAAAAAAATATCCCAGAAATATTTCTGATTTTGAACTTAAAAAGGAGACAGAAAATGATGCAAAGTCCCCTCTGAAAAGCAGTGAAAGGATTCTGCTCTTCTGATCTCATTGTCTTGACAATCCTGGGAGACATTTGGGAGAAGTTTCCATCCCAAATTCAATTTTAAATTTAAATTCCCTCCATTTCCATGTGTGCAAGGACGATCTTGGAGGATGCACCCCGCTCTGAGCCCTGGAAAGGAAAACCTTACTCTTTTGCAGGGAAAATTGCTTTGTTTTCATGTTTTGCTTTTCCCCCACTTCTCCAGAATTAGAAACAGTTGCAGAGTTCACGTCAGCTGGAAGCAGCTGCCTTGTGAAACAACCAGGAAAAGGAGAAGTTGTGGGGGAAAACACACCCCCTTCCAGATTCCCAACAAAACGCCCTTCTCCAGACAAGCCCCGGCACGCTGCTCCCAGTTATCCATCATCTGACACACCAGCCTCTGGTTATTATTTCTGGATCAAAGCAGACGCTGCAGAGGTATAAAACCTGCCCTGCCCGAGCCCTGCTTATTTTGGAGGCTCCAAGATCTCTAAAGGATGAAGCTTTTCCTCCTGGTCCTGCTCGGCGTCGCCCTGTGCACGGAAAGTGGTGAGTCCCGACAGGATCGCTTTGCACGGAACCCTCCCAAAACTCGGGCATCCTTTGGTATTCCAGGATTTTTCAGTGTGGATGGTGAAGCTGAAGGGTGATGAAGGAGTTAT